GGCCTCGTAGATGATATTATCTTATCTTCAAGGCGGTTATCTGAAGCCGTCTATAAACGCGCCTTTGCTTTGCCCACATGTGACGTCATGTAGATGATATTATCTTTGCTTCAAGATAGTTGTCTGAAGCCGTGTCTATAAGTATATATGGTCTAAGGCTAGTACGGTGCCGACCTGAAGCTCACCGTTACGGTGCAGACAATATAGTAGCCTCTCTCTCCAGCTGCTTTGTGTGCATGCGGTGAACATTCAAACACGCTTGCGCATTTCTCTTTCTCGCGTTCTTTCTCTCACTTTCTAATGCTTTGTCTCGCTCGCACTCACTTGGTAGATGCGNCTGCGCATAATGACGCTCGACCATCTATGCCCATATTTGGACTTCGTGCGTCTCCCTTTCTCGGGCCTCGTGCCTCTCATTGCGAAGATACGCGACTAGCAATATAGGAGTATTACATATATGGTCAATTCATCGAAATCTGCTACAGTTAGTTAGTGCGGCGCCCATTGGAAGTACTTACTCCTAGGGAATACCGTCTCTCTTAGGGCGATGTCCCATTGAGCGGAAATCTATAGCGGAACGGAATGTGCGGAACTAGCTCGACCAATCATAGCCATTCCGTTTTCTTTCCTTCGCTTTTTCTGTGGTTACGATTGGTCGAGCTGGTTCCGCACATTCCGTTCCGCTATANATTTCCGCTCAATGGGACATCGCCCTTAGGCCAGTTAAACTCTACCGGTTCCGGCATAAGTTAACAGTTATTGCCCGCATAAACCAGGCCTTACTTTCCGCTCACTGAGCAATCGCGCAACAGTTGAGTTGTCTGAACGCACCCAATGGTGCAGTTCCTTGCTGGCTTGCTGGTGTCGCGTATTCGTCTGAACTCAGTACATACAGAGAAGTGCACCATATCGTTCCGCTCCAGAGAAAGTATTTCTCGGAAATTTCTCCTCTAGCTGTCCCTACTACTGCGCGCCGTTTTCTTTCAATCTCGGGCGTTGGCGAAGATCAAAAGAGTACGGTGCGCGGTAGTAGAAGCAACCAGAAGAGAAATTTTAGAGAAAAACTTCCCTTGGAGCGGAACGATACGGTGCACTCTTCTGTATACCACATAGGTGCATGTTGGGTGCACACAAAGTGGTTCTCACAAATTAGTTAGAGCCAGTTGGTAGTCTCGAGTTCGGCCTACGATATTATACACAGCCGTGGTGGTAGTCGAAATATCCAGTGCAACACCACATGAGTGTACGCACTGCACACACTTGCATCAACTCTACACAGGTGGCACACCGATGCAGCGAAATCGCTATAACAAAATAGCGTAGCTAACACAAGAGTATGCAAGCAAAAAAGCATTGTGTGCCACTAACTTTACTATATAGATACAAGTTTATTAATGTAAGACATTCATTTACATCTTTCAAGTGTTATTATTCTTATCAAAAGAAATTCAAACCAAGAGAAGAGTTACGATTCTATAAAAATAATTAAAATATAAACAATCAAAACAAAAACAAACAAAATTTGTGTATTAATATTGAAGAATTCTTCGGTAAAGAGTTCAAAAACGTACCTCTATATTACAATATAATATGTATACGTGTTTTAAGTAGTTTTTATTGAGGAAATAAGAAAACTTAAATTAAAAATTGTAAAAACTAGATCGCCATTTTAGTATATAACACTGAGTATCATTTAACAATCTTAAATTTATTATAAGATAGTTTATTCTCTGTAGGTTTTACTTCGCCAAATCTGGCTTTTCTTTTTTCTAATCGTTCGGCCATTTCAGCCTAAAAAAAAGATAACTCAATTAAACTTGTAAACCTACTTAAAAGTTGAATAAAAATTATATATGTAAGCGTTCAAAACAAACGCTCATATGTAATAACCATTTGCCTACCTTTTCCATTAATGTAGACACGGAAGTTCCAAATCTTTCCGCGCGTTTCTTGAGGATTTCATAAGTGGTAGGCTAAAAATATTTGATTCATAAGTGACAGAAACTAATTTTATAGTGACAATTACACATATAATATGTATTATACCGTCAATAATTTCTTACCACAGGTGTTTTTATGGATGCAGCTGATTTGTTATTTTGATTATTGATGCTAAATCGGGCTAATCTAGCTTCCTTCTTTGCTGCCTCGGATAACGGTACGCCAAATTTCTTTGCTCTCATCTCTAATCTCTATTCAAAAACATGAAAAAGATTAAAAAAAAAATTAACAGATTATTAAATCTATTAATTAAAGTTTTTTTCAAATATAAATTATATAAATCTTTTATTACTTCTTTTATGCCAAGCTGTGATAATTTGATAATCTTTTTTTCTGGAGGTGTAACTTCGGATATTTTTACATGTTTATTATCATCTTTTTCTATTTGGTCATTCTTGATTTCTTCCAGGGCAGGTTTACGGTTCAGTATTATTTTTTTTGCACTAGTATTATTTGTACTTTCCATAGACAATTTTCGTTTTTGAGGAACAACTTGTGAATCTGGTTTGCTGGATAACTCTTCTATTTCTTCATCCTGAAAGAGTGTGTGAAAGAAAAGAAGAAAAGTTATTAATCTTACTAAACTGCTTAAGAATTTTTTTGTATATTTAAACAGCAAATATAATGTGTGTGTGTTTGTGTACATGTATAATATGTATTATACATGTATAATATTGTGTACATATAATATTGATAATTTATCTTTTTTAATTTATAATAAAGGAGGATATTATATATTAATTTTATAGTATACTTTCAGAATACTTACACCAAGTACTTCATCTTCATCTAAAATCTCTTCAGCAGTCTCATCCAGAGTAAGTGCAGATTCTATAAAATATAAAAAGTTCTTTTGTAAATATATTTGAATAATTGTTAGCAACTAAAAAAAAATAATAGAAACAAACCACCATGAATTGCCAATTGAAGTCTTTCAACTAATTCATTTTTATTTCCTGTAGTAGGTAATCCTCTTTGCTTTAATTCAGCTCTCAAATCTGTTACCTATAAGCAACATCAATTCAAATAAATATCTCTCAAAATACATATGTTCTCTGTTATCAATAAAATTAGTACAGATTATAAAGAGTAATTATAACAATAACAACTTATAATGTAATTTTTTTTCACTTTCTCCTATAAAACACATAAATTAAGTATGTAAAAGTTACTTTTTATTTGTGAAATTACATGATTGAATTCTAGAGAAAAGAATTACAGAATTCTTTAACAAAAATTGTTGTCCGCAAAACAAGGAAAAACAGTTCTCGTGTATTAACAAATCGGTAAATTAGAGAATTATGCGAATAACATCAGACAAAAGAAAAAAATAGAAATAAAGTAATCTGAGTAAAGTAAGCAGTTACCACAATAAGTGAACGAAGCGCCTGTCGGGAGATCTCAATGAGAATTGATGGTTAGGATGTCATCAAAGTAACAGAGCTGCTATATATGCAACTCGATTTGCGATACTTACCTTCATTTTCGACAATTCGGTCAATCCTTTCTCGTATGACGAATCGGCCATCGCGCACTCTATAGTACTTAACTCTCAAATTGTAATTGTTACTGACTAGCAACTAACATTTCACCGCCATTCATATACACATGCACGAATACTTAATGGCGCCTGAAGACAGAACGCGTCACGCGTTAGAGCCAGTTTACAATAAAGGTAGTAAAGGTTGGTTTATAATTGCCCTCATGGTGTAAGAATACAGGTGTGCTCTTGCGCATCGTTTCTCAACAGCCAATAAGAAAGTTGCTCCAACATCGTCCATATTGGAGCGGTAAAACGAAACGAATGTTGTACATACAGATGGCGTCAAAAATTCGTGGAGTATCGGCGGCTGCTCATAGCGCCAGCGAGCGCCGTACGAACTAAATAGTAACAATTGATTGTTCGCAACTACGTCGTGTCGATAATGTAACTACTCTTCTTTTCAATTTTCTTCTCAAAACGTAAAACTATTGGCAGAAAGAAGCCTGAGAGCAGCCACGGCCATAAGAGTTTCTGTCATAGCTTTTCGTGGACATGGTTCTATTCCGTGCTAAGTTTGTGGACGTGCTATAAAAACACCGACGTGGTGGGGATACGCACACAAGCGAGACCGTTGTCCGTGTGCGCTCGTGGAAGTGTGCAGACATATTATGTTGATGTACAGTGCGGAGCACCATATCGCGCGCCGTGAGGAGAAGTAGTTCTCCTCNGGCCGCCTCCTACTATCACGTGCCAGCGGCCCGAGATTTAATCCATATATCGGCACGGTTACCGATGATACATACCGACGCGGTTACCACTAATACCGACAGGCATATGTTATCATAAAATTATCGTGAACATTGAAAAGAGTAACTCTGCATTAAAAGTGACTTCAATAATTTAAATCAAATATTTAGTTATTTAATTATTACGTGATATAAGAATATTTTACTTTCTTACACTTACTTACGGTAAGTGTAAGAAAGTAAAATATATTTAAGTAAGAGAGTAAAAACCTTCTTGTCAGAACCATAAATATATTTTTGACAGAAGAACATTTTTGAGCGCAATCCTATAAAATAAAATCTAGCGTAACTGCTTCAAAATTATATAAAATAATTGTTTGTGTCATTCTTCTTATCTTTTCACACACACACACACACAGTATTTGTTAGTATCATTATTTTATTAAATTTTTAAATACATATACAACTATATACGTATATATGTATATATAAACATAACTATTATAATATTGCCTTACTAATTTTTAATTTTGATGTTGTAAAGAAAATTTAACGCTACTTATACAAATCTAGTATAGTGTTTTATTTTTTATTCTTAATATTTAAATAATGTTTCAAAATATTTTAATAATCACTATGACATTTATCTATTGTCATGGTTTTTTACTCTCTTACTTAAATATATTTTATTTTCTTACACTTACCGTAAGTAAGTGTAAGAAAGTAAAATATTCTTATATCACGTAATAATTAAATAACTAAATATTTGATTTAAATTATTGAAGTCACTTTTAATGCAGAGTTACTCTTTTCAATGTTCACAATAATTTTATGATAACATATGCCTGTCGGTATTAGTGGTAACCGCGTCGGTATGTATCATCGGTAACCGTGCCGATATATGGATTAAATCTCGGGCCGCTGGCACGTGATAGTAGGAGGCGGCCGGAGGAGAACTACTTCTCCTCACGGCGCGCGATATGGTGCTCCGCACTGTATGACGACGGTTCTCGCTTGTGTGCGTATCCCCACCACGTCGGTGTTTTCATAGCACGGAATAGAACCATGTCCACAAACTTAGCACGGAATAGATCCATGTCCACGAAAAGCTATGACAGAAACTCTTATGGCCGTGGCCGCTCTCAGACTTCTCTCTGCTCTTTCTCTGTCTATCAATGTCTGTGGTGGGATCAGGGCCTACTGTTTCATACCACCTAACCTAACCTACTATCACCCCTTAATCTCTTTCACTCTTTTTCCCCCACTACTTTGCTAGACAAAGATGAGGCTACTGTTCAACATCAGCTGTCTCTCTCAACGTTGAAGACATTTTCTTAACATGGCAAAGGTCATAGACTTATATATAAATAGACCCAGCGTTCTGTGAGAGGAGTTGTCCGCGTCTTCTAAAGGACGGAACGATATGCATCCAGGTGCTGTCTCCGTCGCTCCGCCGGTCTGGAGGGGGAACGTCGATGGA